ATTTTGTATCGGGTACTTAAGCTTAAATTTTGATGGTTAGAAAAAACGACGAGTTGGTTTTATCCGTACAACAATCTGCTCGGTAGAGTCCTCTCCGGCTTGATTCGAACTCATGAATCATTTGTGATCAGTGGCATACTCAGTTGGTGACTATCCTTCGTTAGGAGATAAAAGGGACCCAGTTGACGGGTAGTACAGAATGCATTTGATTCAATGTTCGATAGACTGAGTTACACCAGGATCAAAGATCAATTCGTATGTTTTGGATTCGCAGTTTATTTTGTTCGGGTAAATAGCATTCGTTTAGGCTATCTTAATAATGATAAAGTAGTTGTGTTATAACTGTACACCGTTAGTTTAGGAAGAACACAAGCTTCTGAATTGGAACGGGCTCGCTTTAATTGTGTCAAAATGATTCACAAGGTCAACGTTGGAAATACAGATGAATAAAACATCGGGTCTGTCAATAGCTGCGAGCTCGATGGTGGTAGATCGACCAGTCACCAGCCCTCTGATGCGAGTGAGCTGCGGCAGAATTTGAATTCTTACTACATCTCCTTCTTTTTAAAAGATCAAGTAAGACATAGCACCGATGATTCAAATGATTGATTCTTGGGGTTGATGATCAGTCAGTGTACTGGAGCTCGAGTTCAGGTTAAGTGTCGTCTGTCAGTTTGATCAAGTTCCTGGAAGTCGGTGCTGAAATCTGCCGCACTTGGGTTTCGTAATCCGGTAGTCCATCAGTATATCTATGGGTATAAAATCAGAGGAACGTTTCGTTGGGTCTTTTTGCTCGGTCCTAGGCACGAGGTTGTTGGTATGTTTGGTACATACAAAACGTATTACTTTAACCCTACATGTGACGGAACCATCTCGTTGTATAATTTCTCCCGGAATCCAGCTCTCCAGCCCATTGCGAAAATAAGGTACATAGAAGTGATATTCTGTCCTAAACGTTCTCAGTTTGATGTTAGTATTTCTTAGCGGTATGTGAATCTACATTGTCTTGCGCTCTAGGAATCATGGCATCAAGGACTGGCGGCATTCCTCGACCTAGAAACAATTCAGCCGGGGATTTCTGTTGTGAGGTAGCTGGGTCGAGGTTGATCAGTAAGTAAGGAGAAATGATTTACCCTTCCCTTTGACTTGATCAGGGAATGTCAACAAAATGTTCCACTTGACCATTCGGTTGCGCGTGATACACTGGAGTACGAACATGATGGATGTTATTTGAGTAACAGAACACCGCAAATTGTGAAGATGTCAACTGTGGGTTGTTATCTGAAACCAAGATTTCTGGCATACCGAACTAGCCAAATAATCAACTGAAGTTTGTTTGACGGCAGATATAGTGTATTACGCAACGGGAAAGCTTTGGACCACTTGGGATATACATCATCAATTATTAGGTAATACATACCTTCAACAGGTATTTATATACTCACACACATCTGACGCCAGACTTTGTGCCCGGTTTTCCAGACCAAGGGAGGTGAATTTTCTTGGGGAATGCACAACCGGAGTCTTCGGCTAGCCAAAGCCTGACTCACAAGGCAGCGGGGCGATGTGTGAAAGCCGTGATCCTTTAAGGGACGGTGTCCAGTACATCGAATCATACGCCACTTGGACGGGGTCAAACGTCCAAGATGCCCAATATACCTCGATACCCTATTTAGAGGGTGACACCGCCACACCGAGGAGAGTGTGGGTGAGTTTGATTCGTACGCCTCCACCTGGTTGGTTTGGAATCAGGGTTTTAGCCAACTCCCCTGGGTTCACTACCAGTGGTCCAATAACCCGGTTATAGCCCCGGATGTTTACAATTCGTCCTTTCACTTTGGTGGGAAAACACTTCCACCAGGAGAATGCAGTGAGCACGGCTTGTTCAGCATAGGCTGTTGGAAACGCGCAATCGTGTAGAGGCATTTCTCTAGGTTCAAGGGAGGGATGACCAGCCGCAATTCGAGACACTATCTCGACAGTAGTGAGACTTTCGGAAGCATCTTCAACGAGGACAGAAAAATCAATCTGAATGAGTGACCAGCGCACGGCTTCAGGTTGCCATGATTGAGGTTCAGCCTTAGGCGGTAGATTTGTTACCATTAAACAATGATGGCAAGTTTTAACTACGTGTTCAATTTGCGGATCCCTAAATAGCCAATATGCGTGACTTCAAGAAAAAGTATTCATTCGACTGATGTCGGGGTGATCATAATGAAATAGTTTCAACACAGCTGGCTGTAAAAAATGGGGTATATCAACTCGTTCTCCAAGCATCAATCATCCTTGTTAGACAGATAGCGGTAATCTTCTTCGAGAAATTCTTGATAATCTCTGTTTCTGAGATTCTTAGACCAACTGGTTCTACGATAAAGCAACACATCCTGCAATAATCTACCTTTCCATGTCTCATTTCAGATCGTTGCAGCGGTAACGGGTAGGCTGCACATCACTTCTTCGAAGGCGTAATGAACATCATAATCGTATTGTATTGTATTAACGCTTTAGCGAGTCATATACAAGCTTTCGGCCAAAAATGGGCAGCCGTTCCAATTCTTGGGGAAAGAGGTGAAAAAGTGGACTTAAAGCGTACAAAAATATGAGTTAATTGATAAATGCATTTGAAAGTTCAGAACGAACACTTTCCTTGTCGGTCAGTGTTCGGGCAAGATAGGGCAACGAAGAGTTTCTGTATGCGGATATGCGAGAGAGGATAAGTTTGTGTTTAGAACGAATGGAGGGGTGGGATTTGTATGCACACAGGTCAGTGTGTAAAGGATGGGTGCAATCAGATAGGATATTGTTAGCAAACTTCAGTATGGTCAATACACATATTCCCAATCAGAACAGATAACGGAACCTAGGAGGCACGACTGATGATTTGAGAGGCCGCGCCTCAGTAACTTGAAATCAGCCTTCAGCAAACCAAGGAAAACACAGGGGAGCAGTAAAGGGGTATAGGGAGAACACATTGTTGAACAAAAGCGTTTAACATCGAAAAATCAGAAAAGAAGTAGCGCAGTCTTCTTATCTCAAAAGAGAGAACTTTCAACTTACGAGCAACAGTTTAGGCATGTAATGACCAGCGAAGGTTACTTGCAATTGTGTGACACCAAAGTACTTCACATGGCTGCCTCCGCTCATCGGCTTTCCATGAATTTGTAGATTGTTAGTAAGGAGAGGATATCAGTGTGACCGAAACTTGTCATTTTAATGAAACGTAATCTAAATCTTGCCTTATTAGTATTGTGGCCCAACGTTGTAACCGATTTGCAGTGTGTGTCGAGACTCCTGTCTTCTCATCGGAGATGGACAGCAATAGTTTGTGAACACTGAGCAGAGTGTGCTTAACTCCGCGCAATATTTTATGGACAGTTTGAGGTGCAAAACTGTAGTAGTTAAAGTAGGCACAGATCACGAATTACGAATCAAGAATCACGGACCGTACTGGAAAGCTGAATCGCACTAGCACTTGCACGCTGGAATCGCCCGTTACCAAGACGCAAGAAAAAGAACGCCGAAGTAGCAATTCGTTTATTGAAAGAAATCAAGGGGATTAAATAACATATACAATGGAATTTTATTGGCTATCCAAGTATCCACCAATCGCGTGCTTGTATTCTTGACGCCATACAACTTCTGTCTGAACTGCACAACTTCTGATTGGTCGGTGCAGTCGGCCCGTTGTTCGTTTTCTAGAAACTGAAACGTGTTGGTGCTTGGCTGGCGTCATCTGGGAAGGTTGACTCATCACAGTTGTCCAGAAACTGCAACGCGTTGCTCCGTGGTTGGCGTTATCCCGGATAACCACAAAAAATCAGCGCCAGTTCTTTTCCCATTTGACTATAGTTCTTTTCTGCCTCCAAAAGTGATCTGGAAATGTGATACACTGCTTTGCGACTACCATTTGGTAATCCGTTTACCAAAAGGGCTCCAATTCCATATTCCGAAGCGTCTGCTACTACAATCATGGGTAATTTGGGGTCATAATGGGTGAGAAGTAAAACAGACGTAAAATTCTTTTAATTGCAGTAAATGCATCCTGAAAAGAAGCAGGCGACCTATGCCATTCAGTGTTTCGTTGCAGCATTCCGTTCAACAGAGCTCGTAGTTGATACATCTGTGTTAAAGAAATAAGGGTCGTAGGTCGGGTGCAGTAGGAAACTATGGAATCCATTCAACACAAAATTGAATAGAAAGTATGAAAACGAGTGAAAGTTGAACGTCGTAATCAGACAGTCAAAGAAATTTACTGGTTACCTTTATCATCTCGTAGCTGTTGAGTAAATCTCTGATGAACAACGAGCACTACGCGGTCGAACCGGCAAACTCTGAATTCATTAAGAGGTTTTCAGAACGCTTGTCTCCTCATACACGATCGAACGTTTGTTTAGGTCTCAACAACCAAATGTGGAGCAGAACAGTTTTCTCTGTGCTTCAAAATTACATACTAACCACATGCATTCAATCACTTTGTTTCTGGGACTGCTCAAATTCGATTAACTCATAAAGGTTCATGCATTATATATCGATGTCACCATCATCATAGAGGATTCCAACGGGCTTACTTTAATCATACTCAATGAGCAGTGCAGTGTAGGTTGTCGGCTTATTGTCTCAGAGTATAACTGTTTCAATGCGGTCACCATAATCCCAATTTTCCAGGGAATGATGTATATAAATAAATGATGCATCAAACTGTGTGTATCTAAGAGGAAAACCGAGAACTCCTCTTTATCCCAAATAATTAAATAATGCCTTTCATCAGTTATCATTATTATTTAGATGGTGAACGTTTAGATTAGTCCATTCGGTTTTTCACAGGCACCAGGCACGGTTGATGATGTTGGATGTGGGAATTAAACTACTATTATTATTATTATTAAACAGCACAAGTTGTGGAGGACATTTCGGCAGAGAAATCTCTGATTCAATTATTGCTTAATCGATACAAGGAGTATGGAATCATTGGTCGTCCGGTTCGAGATAGTCGAGTCCAAATGGTCATACAATACGGACTGCAACTCATTCAGATTTTGCATCTGGACGAGAATAAACAGGTATTGAGAACCAACTGCTGGACTATCTATGTAAGTTCATTTTGCATTCCCTTTATCTTTCAATAATACTGATTACCCGAGTTTTCGATTATCTCACTTTCTGCAATCTCATATTTGTCACCTTCAATAGCGTTGGGTGGATCCACTGCTCAAGTGGAATGCTAGTCAATTCCAGGATCTGAAAGTAGTTCGAATGCTGCCGAAGCAAATTTGGACTCCGGATATAAAACTGTACAATTTGTAAGTTTTGCGATTTTCAGACTGTTTACTACTCCATGGTGTTACCCTAAATAGTGATGTCATGGTCATTTTTGTTGCTGTTGTTTTCGTACCTTTCGTTCTGACAATGATCATAATATCGGCAGGAGTGTTCGTAAATTAGTGATTTATTCTCACCCTAATTTGTGATATCAATAGTCTGTCTTTTGCAAATTCTGCTCTGCTCACATCTATTGTCATCAAATCAGCGCGGACGAACGTTTGCAAGAATATCGCGAAGGTGGTCTCTTGGTGCATAATGATGGCACAATACTCTGGCTTCAGCAGGCCTTGTTCAAGAGCACGTGTCAAGTGGAGACCACTTATTTTCCATTCGATAGTCAAGTAAGTTACTCGTCCGTTGAATGTACTCAAAGCAACTCGCTGCTCCATATCCACAGTCCCGAATGGAATGTCGTCCCAGCGGGGCTTAAAATCAATTCTGACCTAACGAAACTAACTAATAATCGATAAACAAGCGTGACTCGAATACAGTGGGGTGGGCCAATTTATTATTTTTGGAGCAGGGATACCAGCCATTTGAATGTTAATCGAGGGGAGGTGTATTTGACTTTTGTGTGAGGTCTTCAGTTTTCAAACCAATAACCCATAAAATGAGTTCCTGCAATTATCAAAACATGGCTAACAAAGAAAGATTTCCAACTTATGAATGATGAAGTATAGAGGGTTGCGGGGGGGGGCAACGATAGTACTGAGGTCTTGCGACACGGACTACCATTGTTATATTCCAAAAAGGCGGTGCTGGTCTAGGAGAGTTCTTTATTGCAGAATAGAGATTGAAGGTCACTTATTTTGCATGCATTACACGAAAAGCTCATCAGAAACATGCCTTCGCAGCACATCGCGACACATAGGGTAATGGGTATAGCAGGCAGTGTTTATTCTTCCCAAATATATTACTTGGTCCTTGATAGTCTTGTTCTATTTGTAATCACCGAAAGTTACCGACTACTCACAAGTGAGTATCTCACAACACCATGAATTGGCTTCCGGCCGTCGCCACGCAACCAGAGCATCTCTAGCGCAATCCATCTGGGAACGTTTCTTCTTGTACTTATTTTACAACGTGGGACAAAATTTACGGATAATGTTTATTGCATGTCAACCATCTGGAATGAGGAAAGTCCAAAGGAGTCCAAAAGAAACAGTACTTTTTGTCTGATGCAAGTGAAATCGGTTGGTTTTATTCAGTGATCCAGTTTATGGGTTGCGTTTCACAGCCTTGGAGACTCTTGGACGTCAATCCTGTAGGCCAAAGTTCCATTTGTGATTAAGGATGTAAAGAAAGACGTACAAAGCCACAATTTTCACCTGGTTATTATTAGCATCCAATAGAGATAAATCACTCCTGAAGTATTATTAAAGTATATGACTTTCATTAACTTACATAAATGAGTAAGATAATTTTACTTTTTTGGTTGTTGTGGAAGCAGCATAACCACAATCGTTTCGCATAGCACAGTGAACTACCGGACAGTTTCTAAGTGCTCTAACATTAAATAATTGTTTTCTATCTTTTCGGTTCACTCTAAAAGAAATTCGTGCTTCTTTGGGAGTCACATCATTTTGGCATGCACTGGAAGACAGTAAAAAGATTAACAAAATCCGGTAAATCTGATGCATATCTCGTATGAACAGCTGCGAACGAGAGCATACGGAAACGATAACAAGAACTTTCAAGTCACACCAGCATATTCTGTCAGTCTCTAGATTTTCTTACGAGGTCTTTGTGGATCGGAATGTGCAGTTTGTTTGATCACTATTTTACCATAACCTTGGCATGAACATTCGTACGCACCACTCTAGGCGTGAAATGGTAAACTCCATGTAATATAACCCAAAGTTAGGTTGCCCGATCTAGGAAACTTATCAGTGGCAATGTGACAATAAAAGGGTTTGCCTTGCTGTAATCTAGATCCTAAGGATATTAGTGTTCTGTCAAATGATAGTCATAAAATGCCACAATAAAATGTCATCCCACTTGATATTCATGGATGTTTTACTTAGAGTCTATGGTCCCTACCCGGTAGTCTGATGTTTATCTCACACCGCAATAAGGAATACTTCTGAAGTCCCAAACTAAATACTTGTTTATTTCCGTCAAGAAATCTACAGTTTTAAAAATGCAGTTGCGTAACATTTGTTTTGACCGTCGTCAACCTCCTGATTTCCGCTCAAATTTCTTTCAAGTGTATTGCTTGTAGAAGAATTGTCCCCAGGTCCTCACAATCCGTAATAAAGGTATCTGTCGATGACTGCCTTCTTATCCCTTTGGACGATTTGTCTTGAATTGCGAAGAAAATTGCTGATGATTTTATTATCAAACTGGTTTTTATTCAGTATGTAACCGCACGCAATTTTTAATTGACAGACTAATCAGAACAAATTCAGTCAGTACCTAGCGCCAATGAACTTTTTTAAAGTGCAAATGCTCTCTGACTGACAGTTTCAGTAGTGTGTGTGTATGACGATTAAATAGGTGTCCAAACTGTTGCGTCTGCAAACGAGACGGTTCTTTTATTTTCACGAGATTGAAAGCTGGGTGGATCGTGGTAAATCCGACTACGGTCACAATTCTTTGATAAACACGGTGTTTTAGCACAATTGTTGGGCTTATATGGTTGCTGTTTTTCTGTTGATTTGGCTAACATCTGCATGTGTGTGTGTGTGTGTAAAAACTTTGCTCAGGAATAATCGCAGATTAGTAATCGTCATCGCATTAACACTCACACTCAACGGACAGAATTGCCCGATACCAAGATGAGGGACGTACACTAAGGAAGTAGTGAGTAATGGATATTGAAAGAATAGGACGGGTTAAATAATATATACAGGAAAAGATTATTGGTCCAGAATATGCGCAACAACCAGCGCTCTTGCTAATCCAGCCATAGTATTCCTGAATGGGTCATCCAAATGGGAAGAGATTGGCATGGCCTCGTAGTTTAGCTCGTAGGGCATATCCGGTACAAAAGGGAAGGTGGCTTTCATCTGTGAGTTTGAATTCCACTGAGGCAACGAATGTTTACGCAATTCAGACATAAGATAGTTCTTCCTGAATAGTTCACGGCCAATTCAAATGGTTCAAAATACTGGCACCTTATTAGTTGTCTTGACTGTTTAGCTCCCTGCTTGGAGTCATCTCGGAACACTGGATCGCTACAATGTGCTTGAGCCTTGTCCCAAAACAAAATACGGACCTGAATTTGAACCTGGTAAAACCAACTTCATCCTAGACGAGGAAAGCTTAATAGACCTAAAAAGCCTTCCGAGCACCTCTTGAACGAATGACGAAATCAGGCATCTAGTGGTCAAATGACGGGAACTCTTTTGCTCAGAACTAAAATCTTTGCTCAGGCATAGTTAAAATAGGAGTTTTTATCATGCAATCTTCGAACAGTTGACAGTGTAAATGTGGATAGTGAAAATAAGCTCACGGATCGAACGAAGGACTCATCCGTTTCCATAGAACCGGCGCACAAGGAAAACCCCAACCGTTCTAATGGGGCTCCAATCAAGAATGTTGGTTGGTCAATCACCGACCTCCATATTTTCATAAATAAGCCCATTTTAATCACACAAGCTCTGTGTCTAGTGATGTTGCTTTTTTGACCAAGCACTGATCATCATCACCGACAGTCCGGTATCACACGGAAAAGTAAGTCATCAGAAATTCTGTTTTATGTGAGTCCGCTCTCTACGTTTACTTGATAAGTGCCATCCGTGTGTTGTTCTTCACGAAAATAGCACTCAAAACCACGATACAGCCACCATAATAAAACTCGACCACCGAAGCGAAGCTCGTTCTTATTACCGTAGAAAATTTATATATCAGCGTATCACATTTAGACTTCCATCTGATTTGATTATCGACCCAACTGACTCACAATTTGTGCAAGCGCTTAAGCTTCCCTGGCCCACGCTACACATACCCTGTCACAAGCAATCTTGTTGGTCGGACGAGTGAAAAAAACAACTATGTGATCATGGTGGATCCGATTTCCGGTCTGATGATGAAATCGATTCTAGTAATCTGTGATGTGATGCGACGTGATTTTATTTTGTTATTTTCAAAGACAATTTTCTTCCCAAGTAATGATATATATTGTGATATATTGGCATGAATACAAATAACAGAAAATGAGGTTGTTCACCAACTGGCTGTTTGTGCAACATGATATTCACTTAATATACATCTCCACTAAATGCTCCTTCCCACCGTGCACGCAAAAGCAATTTGTGCAAGCACTTGAGCACCTTTAGCGGAATTCACGACACGCGACGGGTTCTTAAGCATCTGAACAAGTTACAATCAATTCTTGAGGGAGTGGGGCACAGCTAAGCTCAAAGTATTTCTTTCNCATATGTAATACGATTAGGTAACCCTGAAAACCACTGTTCCCTATATGTGTTCTGTGGCAATGGTCATGAATTCCGCGTTACCCAGATGCAGAGGGTGGCGCTCCCGATCCGAAGGATATCAGTTAGAGTCCAAACATAGATATAATTTGCATTGATGGATCCCAAAATGAACGGACCAGTTGCTCAGTAATCATTATGCTCTTTGAAAACATCTTGATAGTCAGAATTTTCGAGATTGGTGGAGAAACTGAACTCCGTCAAGTTGGGTCCAACCGTGAAAACGATACACGGACCCCGCGAATTCTCGTGAAATAAAAATAAGAACATGTTTATTCCACCAGATTTTCGTCATCACGTCATTTCATCAAGTCAGCATTCAGAATAACCTATTGGGTTGTAGCTTATAGTGAGCCATTATCTTGTATAGACGCAAACTAACTGCTTCACTAAGATTCCCTATATTCTTTTCCAATCCCGAACAGGTTTGCATGCTTGAGTTCGGTTCATTGACTTACGACAAAACACTCCTCGAGCTGCAGTGGTGGACCCCGGATGATAGTGAGACCCCGATGCCATACGTGGATTTTTCTGACTACGTTCCAGCCAACGAATGGTTTGCTGATGGTGAAGCTGAACGTCACTTGAGGCATGAAGAGCGAACAAAACAGGTGAGCAATTGATCAACCACTTAAATAGATAAACACCCAGCGAAGACAACCGCCTGCAAAGAAATCGGATCATATTCATGACTACTCATGAGTAGCCAAAATAAAACGGAAGGTCAAAGCGTAATGTGGATCCAGTGAATTCTTCGAACCTTATAAGGAATCCTGAGATGGTTTGATGGAGAGTGAAAATTAGGTACAATATAGAAGCGTTATCAGTGCGATAAGAAAAGTCACATATAACTTTGATCAATCATCGGTAAAAATATCAGACATCTGAAATCGAATAAGTTAGTCAAAACGGTCAGTGGAGAGTTCCCATGATAAGATACAAATGTTTTGATTTTTTCCAAGAATGAAATGGAATTAATGCTTTTTGCTTAGTTTCAAAGTTATCCCTGTCTACTTTGAAAATTCATTGTGGTCACATTTTCAGAAATTATTGTATAATTAGTTATCGTCGTTTGTATTCGTCTGGACACCCAGTCAAATTATTTTCACCAAGTTTCTTCCGACGACAAATCTCCATTGCTTGCACTGTAACCACAAAGTTACATAACACCTGAAGTGATTGCATGGTTTTGACTGCGATCATATTTTCATTTAAATAAAATCCCTGGAAGTCTCACAGGGAATAATGCCGTTCAATTATGAAAACAAAGTACTGGAGTGCATGTTACTAAACACGTGACCACATATCGGGCTGAAGGGATACTTTTGGAAATTACAAGGAATTTCAGCAGAGTGATTATTTAGTAAGCGGTGACAAAACCTGACCAGCTGTTTAGTATTCCAAAAGAATATTCTGTGAAAGAAGTTTGCGATTTGGATTGAACTGGTAATCACGATCATTTTGGTTTGCTTTAGAACAGGAAAGCAAGCTGTCGACGAAACTCGAAAGAGCTTCACGAAATATGTGGTTTGCTATTTCAGCACTTGTGAGAGTTCTTGTCAATCAAAATGGTCACGACGTAAATACTGGAAATGTGGGTTTTTACACTCGAAATGGAGTACTCCATCGCAAAAGAATGACTTCATGCAGGGATCGGTAATCTGAATCTGGAGTCTAAAATGGAGCAATATGAACGTGTAACACAGTTGCACAGGTGCCTTTGAATCCACTATGGTGGGCAATTCGTTCTAATATTGTAAAACTTACTTGGAACTATACGATAAACCGCCCCTTCGTAACTCAATATGTAAAATAATAGCATCTCCTTAGCACTCCTCACTAAAAAAGTGCATTGATGCTACCTTTATTCTTAAACGTGGCCCCGATTATCTTGCATTGGTAACTAATCCCCCTGACTCTACAGTTAACAATAAAAGCATCCCCAAACCTGTATTTTATTATCTCAGTGTCACCCTCACCTCTAACCTGTCACGGTTTTCTCATGTAATCAGCGATTTTTAAAAGGTGGAGAACTGTCCTTTTTATGCATAGTAGTTTATCAAACAGGCGTCACACATAATCGTATTCGTAAATTCGTGATTGCCTTCCTTCCGCACTTGCAATAGTGCCCCCCAAATATTTATCCCTGGATTAAAAGAAAAAGATTTCACTTTGTTTTCTACATCCCTTAAACTTTTGTACCATTACAGTGGAGTTGATAATATTGTTTTGGTTAATTTTTTATTTTTAAGAATTTCGAGGCTTGTAATACGTTTATCGACAGGATGACCCAGGATCAAGGGTACCGTCTGCACCGCGAAATCGTGAAAGCCCTGTCAAGTCCTAAAACTTGCTCGAATATCAACTTCTTCCCGCACGTAATGCCACACATGGAAACAGTCTAATTCCATACCTTGCTCGGCTCTTGGCTAGTCGTAAAACAATTGCCATGCACCTCAGGGAAAGATTCGTGCATTGATTTTTGTCTGATTTATTCCAGCATTGAATTTATTTTTTGTTTTTTGTTGTTGATTGCATATAAATATATATAAATATGTAGGGTACAAGTTCCTTCTTTTGACGTGAAAAACAGACACAAACATGAACAAGCAGCCATCGTTTTCTGTGTTGTGTGGTTAACAAATAGAAAAAACAACCTGGGGTAACTTCACTATTAGGAAGTAGAGGTCACAATTTTGTCAGATCGTAATCTGTCGGTCGTCTTGGTTTCTATTAAATCAGTGAAATAATTATATTTTTATTAGGGATTAGTTTCGGTAAAGCGGCTCTCTCTTGATGCTAAAATCCATCGAAAAACAAATCGCTTCGAATTCTGACATGATTCATCGGTTAGATAAACTCAAGTGTTCAACCCTACCCAAATTCACATCATAAGTCTTCCGCAACAAACACTGCCAACGAATTTGTGTTACCAACAGAGCTAGTTGTTCATTGGTTGCCACTTCAGACCGACCGTTGATTCATTCTTGTGGGAAGCTGTCGGTCGGTCGGTTGGTTACGAGCATTTACCCGGTCGATTGTTAGTTTAATCGCTCGTAGCGGATGAAATGGCCTGCTTAGCATCAACTCAATAGACGAGCGGACAAGTCAATTAGCCACGACGAAGTGATGGCCCCAAATGTGAAACTCGCTTGTTGTTTCGTGTGACCTAATTTAGTTACAACAGATCAACCGAGTAAACCGCGTCTTTGTATGTTTGCCTGTGGTTCTGTTTGTAAACCTGTATGCGTTCATCTATGCTTCGAGGCCACCCCAGTCAGCAGTTATTCTGAGATGGGATAGGTCAACTGTGGCCAATTTATATGGGATTCACACTTTTGTAGACAATAGGAGATATGCATCGTACAACCTGTTGCCCGAGGCATTAGATAACTATTGGATTTTCCCCGCTGTTATTTTTATTGTTGATTGTGGTGCTGTTGTTGTGAATTAGGAGTTTGCATCTGGATGAGTTCGAGAACTGGCCAGTTACAACCTACAATACTACTCACTTCACGCCACCACTAGTCAATGACACTGTTAAAGTCTAATACGAAAAAAATCTACAAATGTAACGTTTATCACACCTAGCCTATGGGATCTTAATTGATTCGGGTGGTTGCATACAATTAAACCAACGACATCCTAGATAGTTCTGACGCCTCATGGAGCTGTACCCTGAAACAAATCAGTTGCAGGAGTACAAACAACTCAGAGATTCGTGGAAAGAGTCTCCCCCCAGTGCTGGTGAAAGCTGTATTCATTGATGATATCGTAAATAGAACCATTTACAGGAAACAGGATGACAAATAATAAATTCTTGATGAAAATCACATGGATTATTGAGAGATGGGGAATCATCATAAAGTGCGTTTGTTAGCATCTCACCAAACACAACTGATTCTCAGGTGGTAAGGGGGAAAACATTTTTCTCCGTGAGAGGAAGAAGGAGAAGACGAACTAAGCAGGTTTGAGTGTAAAAAATTATGTTCGCAGTTCGTTTGGCCAAAGGGACAGAAATTGTTTAAATATAGGCAACTATTGAATGACACTCTGCACTGGATTTCAATATATCTGTTAAAATAGGTATTAAAATATTGAGATTAAATTAATTCCATAGAAGTGAGACCCACACGAGAATAACAAAGAAAAGAATTTGTGTTAGTGGATATGCTTAAAAAGTACAAAAATTTTATTTACATAAATCTTGAAAGGTGTAAGAATATAAAAAATAAGATCAACAGACGGACCTGAAAAATACGAGTTGGGGCATAAAACTCAGCCCCCCCCCATCATATATAAGTTATTCGACAAGTCATCGGTGTGACGTTGGAAGATGGTAGGTTGTTATATATATATATATATATATATATATATATATATATATATATATATACCTCCTCTTAGTGGGACATCATTGACTCCATTATGGTCACATACTTTGTAAATTACAGTTAAGATAAAATCGATGCCAAGTAGGATTGAAGGTCTC